GAAAGTGCTGGAGGAGCGTGCCAACGATCTGTCCCAGACGCTGGCCGAGGAGGAGGAGAAGGCCAAGCATCTGGCCAAACTGAAAGCCAAGCACGAGGCGACCATTGCCGAGCTGGAGGAACGCATGCACAAGGATCAACAGCAGCGCCAGGAGTCGGACCGCACCAAGCGCAAAATCGAAACCGAGGTGGCCGATCTGAAGGAGCAGCTGAACGAGCGACGCATCCAGGTCGAGGAGATGCAAGCACAGCTGGCCAAGCGCGAGGAGGAACTCACCCAAACGCTGATGCGCATCGACGAGGAGTCCGCCTCAAAGGCCGCCGCCCAGAAGGCGCAGCGTGAACTCGAATCCCAGCTGGCCGAGATCCAGGAGGATCTCGAGGCCGAAAAGTCAGCGCGCAGCAAGGCCGAAAAACTGCGTCGCGATCTCAGCGAGGAATTGGAGGCGCTTAAGAACGAGCTGCTCGACTCACTGGACACCACAGCCGGTAAGTCGACAATTGATGCTTTTCCTGTAATATTTTCTATATCGAATTCTTCTCTTCTCGCTCTGCCCAACAGCCCAACAGGAGCTGCGCTCCAAGCGCGAGCAGGAGCTGGCCATGCTGAAGAAGTCTCTGGAGGAGGAGGGTGTGAATCATGAGAGCGTGCTCGCTGAAATGCGTCACAAGCATGCCCAGGAGCTGAACAGCATCAACGATCAGCTGGAGAATCTGCGCAAGGCCAAGGCCGGCCTGGAGAAGGCCAAGGGCACCCTCGAGGCGGAGAATGCGGATCTGGCCACGGAATTGCGAAGCGTGAACAGCTCGCGGCAGGAGAATGATCGACGACGCAAGCAGGCAGAGTCTCAGATCGCTGAGCTGCAGGTGAAGCTGGCGGAGATTGAGCGTGCGCGTTCCGAGTTGCAGGAGAAGTGCACGAAGCTGCAGCAGGAGGCGGAGAACATTACCAACCAGCTGGAGGAGGCCGAACTGAAGGCCTCGGCGGCCGTCAAGTCAGCCAGCAATATGGAATCGCAGCTGACAGAGGCACAACAGCTGCTGGAGGAGGAGACCCGCCAGAAGCTCGCCCTTAGCTCAAAGCTGCGTCAAATCGAATCGGAGAAGGAGGCACTGCAGGAGCAGCTCGAGGAGGATGAGGAGGCGAAACGCAACTTCGAACGCAAATTGGCCGAGGTAACAGCCCAAATGCAGGAGATCAAGAAGAAGGCCGAGGAGGATGCCGATCTGGCCAAGGAGCTCGAGGAAGGCAAGAAGCGCCTCAACAAGGACATCGAGGCGCTGGAGCGACAGGTCAAGGAGCTGATGGCACAGAACGACCGCCTGGACAAGAGCAAAAAGAAGATCCAGTCAGAGCTCGAGGATGCTACCATTGAGCTGGAGGCGCAACGCACGAAGGTAAGTAAAGAGACGCAGAATAAATGAGTCACTTGCTCATCCTTTAATCATCCATCAGGTGCTCGAATTGGAGAAGAAGCAGAAGAACTTCGACAAGATACTCGCCGAAGAGAAAGCCATATCAGAACAGATCGCCCAGGAGCGCGACACGGCGGAGCGTGAGGCCCGTGAGAAGGAGACCAAGGTGCTGTCGGTATCCCGCGAATTGGACGAGGCGTACGACAAGATCGAGGATCTGGAAACGAAACGCAAGCAGCTGCAGAACGAGCTAGACGATCTGGCCAACACACAGGGCACGGCCGACAAGAACGTTCACGAGCTGGAGAAGGCGAAACGTGCGCTCGAATCGCAGCTGGCCGAGCTGAAAGCACAAAACGAGGAGCTCGAGGATGATCTGCAGCTGACCGAGGATGCCAAACTGCGTCTGGAGGTCAACATGCAGGCGCTGCGCTCGCAATTCGAACGGGACCTGCTAGCCAAGGAGGAGGGCGCCGAGGAGAAGCGACGTGGCCTGGTCAAGCAGCTGCGCGATCTGGAGGCCGAGCTGGACGAGGAGCGCAAACAGCGAACGGCCGCAGTGGCGGCCAAGAAGAAGCTGGAGGGTGACCTCAAGGAGATTGAGACCACCATGGAGATGCATAACAAGGTGAAAGAGGATGCCCTCAAGCATGCCAAGAAATTACAAGCACAAGTCAAGGATGCGCTGCGCGATGCCGAGGAGGCCAAGGCCGCCAAGGAGGAGCTGCAGGCGCTGAGCAAAGAAGCCGAACGAAAGGTGAAGGCACTCGAGGCCGAAGTATTACAGCTGACCGAGGATTTGGCCAGCTCGGAGCGTGCCAGGCGAGCGGCTGAAACAGAGCGCGACGAACTGGCCGAGGAGATCGCCACCAATGCCAGCAAGGGCTCGCTCATGATCGATGAGAAGCGACGGCTGGAGGCGCGCATTGCCACCCTGGAGGAGGAGCTCGAGGAGGAGCAATCGAATTCAGAGGTACTGCTCGATCGCAGCCGCAAGGCGCAGCTACAGATCGAACAGTTGACCACAGAGCTGGCCAACGAGAAGTCCAACTCGCAGAAGAACGAGAACGGACGTGCGCTGCTCGAGCGCCAGAACAAGGAGCTGAAGGCCAAGCTGGCCGAGATCGAGACGGCGCAACGCACCAAGGTGAAGGCCACCATTGCCACGCTCGAGGCCAAGATTGCCAATCTGGAGGAGCAGCTGGAGAACGAGGGCAAGGAGCGCCTGCTGCAACAGAAGGCCAACCGCAAAATGGACAAGAAGATCAAGGAGCTCACCATGAACATCGAGGACGAGCGAAGACACGTCGACCAGCATAAGGAGCAAATGGATAAAGTGAGTGGAAATTGTAATTAAATTTGGAATAATACTAATTCTCATTTTATGTATCAATCACAGCTGAATAGCCGCATTAAACTGCTCAAGCGCAATCTGGACGAGACCGAGGAGGAGCTGCAGAAGGAGAAGACGCAAAAGCGCAAATATCAGCGCGAATGCGAGGACATGATCGAATCCCAGGAGGCCATGAACCGTGAGATTAACTCACTGAAAACGAAATTGCGGTAAGCGCAGGGCAGACACTAGCGGGGGATGATAACTGGATGAACTGAAGGCAGCAGCAGTGGCTGGAAGTTTACACTCTTGCAGATGAAGTAGAAAATGTATAGCTTATAAGCGGGGCATTTAAAATATTATATTTTTTTTGTATTATTTCTTTTTTGGTTTTTTTGTACTGTTTATTTATTTATTTTTCTCTCTGGGCTTGACGACGTTGTTACTATATATTTGCATATATAGATCGATACAGGTGGCCGAGACTGAAAAGGCCAAAGCATATTCGCCGAAAAAGGATGCTGCACTCATTATGAATTGTGAGGGTCTGCATTAGGTTTCCATTTCGCTTCGCTTCCTCTTGGTAGGCTGTAAGTGCTGGCGACATCTTCATCTACACCCAACCAACTACAGAGAATGAACCAATTCCAACCAGATCTATGTCAAGATTTTAGTGCATGTTAGACACACACACACACACACACACACATACATACACATTAAATCGTGCGTTTGAATAGCGTTCAATGTTCGATACGAATCCCCTCCCAGGAATAGAACTTAGTGCATTATATCGTACATAGCGTGTCTCCACTTCCCCACAACTCTCGTTATATTGTTTTATATACATATATATATATATATATATATATGTATGTGTTTGCGTTGACCCTTACAACTCCTTGTTTTTGTTTTTGTGCACGATAAGCCTCTGTCTTTAATGATTTCTTAAAAGAATTTTTTATAATATTTTGTATTTGTTTCTCCTTTTGTAGACGCACCGGCGGCATGGGCCTCAGCTCCAGCCGACTCACGGGCACACCATCGTCCAAGCGCGGAGGCGGCGGTGGGGGCGGCGGCGGCGACGACAGCTCATCGGTGCAGGATGAATCATTAGATGGCGAGGATTCAGGCAATTGACGCGTTAATTATTAATACATAAAAATAATAATAATAAAAAAAAAAACAACAAAAAAATCAACAAAAGGAAATAAACGATTATATATATTTTAATGTTTCTTTTATATAATTTCTCTGTTATTTTTTATATAAACTATTATTCTTAATTAAAAACTTAAAGACAACAACAAACGCAAAACAAATTAATTATACAACTTAAAAACAAACTACAACCAATACGCGTATTAACTTTCTTCCTTCCCCACTTAAACCCCCCTTCAACATGCAATATACATATACAATACACATGCATTTAATAACTAAAGGTTTATAAAACAATCAAATGTTGAACAAGCAACTAATATACGAATTTCGTTTTGTTTAGAAACAATAAATATTTGCTATAACAATTATAAATGGTTCAAATGTCTGTTTGAATTTGCGCGGGTCAAAAGTGAGTTGTGCTGGCAGTACTCTTGCAGTGTGGCCATACATGGGCACAATTTCTCGAAAGTCATGCATATCAACCAGCTCTTGTCAGTGAGCAAAGTCAAGAAGGTCGTGTAGGGATTTTCAACAGAGTTTGTGAGGAATAAAGAGCAAAGAACGGTTTATTTTTTAAATTAAATTAAATAAAAAAAAATTTTAAATTAAATAAAAAATAATGAAATCATGTTTCTTTTCATTTGATGTAATTTGCTTGTAATCAATTCAAGTACCAACAGTCGAATTGCACTGCGAAAAATTGTTGCATACCGTTTCGGGGCTGCCGGTAAAGCCGTTTTAGTGCAGAGTTTTCGTATGAAGGTTTTCTGAAGTACCAGGCGAACAGAAATCAGCAGCAGGGCTGAAAATGTTTATGAACAGTATGCGAACAGTGCAAAGCAAGCTAACATAGTCGCTGTTAAGTACGCTGTTAAACAACAGTAACTGTTATTTTACCGCCAAACCTTAGGGCAGTTGAATTTTGAACTTGAATCTTAGCGGCGAGGAAGGAAACTTGATGGACAATGGTGTTATTTATTGATATATAATCAATTATATAACTTTTATTGCTTTATATACTTACTATTTATTATACATTTGTTTCATTTCTTTATACATATGATACATATATACAATTTGTTAACTACTTCTACTGCTATCGTATCCTAAGTCGTGACAAATTCGAAAATCTCTTGATTGATAAGGCACTCCAGCGCAAGAGGGCTCTCTCTCTCTCTTACCCATGCACAAAACCCATTTGTGCTGCCCCGCCCACAAATCCCTCCCCTAACTAGTTGCTAATGGCACTACGAATTGGCGCGATGCGCCAGACTGACGCCATGTGGCAGGACCTGGACAACAACAATGCCACCATTGCTTGAACTTGGACCAGCAAGGGCTTCCAGCTCTGCAGAGGATTTGCTCTTCTCCAGCTGCTGCTGCTCCTCACGCTTGCTGTTCAGATAGTAAACGCTTGCCACAATCAGGCTGAAGCTGGTCACGGAGACCAACAGGGTGCCGTACTTGAGCGCCAGCTGGATGGCGTCCAGGCCAAAGGTGCTCACATAGAGCGTGTGCAGGACATCTTCATTGAAGTCGCCAGCGGTTATTTCAATCCAGATCAGGGGCAAGATGGTGGCATTTTGCATGCGCCAGGCTTGATCTGAAAGATGAGGATGTTGATGTTTGGAATCTTTAAGCGAATGCCATTTAACTTACTGCGCAGCAGTGGCGTCTTGTCCAGCATGATGTTGATCTGGATGCGGGAGGCGCCGCTAATAGGGAAGCCAAAGCGCGGATGTATATCGGCATAAGTCTGATGCAGTTCGGCATCTGGATTGATGCCCTCAAAATCCTTGTACAGTATCGGATCGCCGGTGAAGAAATGCGGAAACGATGGGAAAATTGGTGAATCATCGTAGCACCTGGTCGCATTGATTACGCCACTCGGCAGACAGAGATCAGTATTGCGGCAATAACATTCGTTGGCCGGATTCTCGGAAGGATGGGCAAAGACGTCCAAGGGCGTACGATAGCGCAGCACATCAATGTCATTGTAGATGGTCTCCTCCTTCTCGAAGCGTAGCGGCACCTTACGGCACAGTACCTGCAGGAAGACATTGACCGTGCTGCGAGTCTGCAGCATGGTGGGCGAGAACATGGACGGCTCGCTGCCATCGATGCGATTGCACTCGTCGCCCTGCCAGAAATCCAACTGGGGCTTGCCATTGAACTGGGTGATGATGCTAAACTTGGAGATGTCGTCCTCGCCCGTGTTCAGCTGCACCGAGTCCACGCTCGTACCGTTGCGCTGCAAATGGAGATCAGAGATCAGGGATTAGCTGTTGTGGTTTAAGTCGAGTCAAAGTTGTTTTTAGTTCTCACAGTTCTCAGCAGACCGAAGTGCGTCTTGCCGCCGCCCAGAGATTCCAGACTGATTATCTTGTCCCGATAGCCCCACAGATACTCGTAGGCAGTGAGTCGCTTGAACAGCGGCTCCTCAAAGAGCTTGATGGTGCCGGTCACAAAGAGGCGCTTGATTGCGGCCATTCGCTTCACATGCACCGCCGCCGACAGCAGCGGCACATTGGGCACCAGGATCACATCATCTTCCCGCACCGTCGACTTTTCCGGCAGAAACTTATACGATTTTTTATCCTGCAAGCAGATGTACCAATTCATATATTTGTTTACGAACTGGAATGTTGTGAGAGGCTTACCCGAAATGTAACCGTATGATTCTTATTGAAGGACACCTGATCCTTGATCGTATGCTCCTGATAGGTGAGCGGGCCCAGATCCTCGACGTGTATCTTGTCCGCTCGCCCAGCCAGATAGTCCTCAATGTTCGTATAGTTGAAGATGTGCGCCTTGAGTAGAGTATCATACTTGGGATCCGGCGAGAGCCAACTGTTCGCTGTATCCGAGTTCTCAGCGAGGATTAAATTCTGTGAAAGAAACAAGTGATCGGATATATATAGGTATATAATAGGTATATTTGCAATTAGAGCTGGTAAAGAGAGAATAAATGAATGTAGAGGGAAGCGAATATAGAGAGCAAATAAATAATCTTTAACTGGTTTTACCTCGAGCATTGTATTATTGTAGTATTCGGTAAACCACATCACAAAGAACCCGGTCACGCTTATCACAAACAGCAAAAACATGGAGCCCAGCACTGTATGTAAAAAGGTCGCAATAAAATTGGGTTAATTCGAGGGCGATTACACTGGTATAAATACTTGTGGCATGGACTTACTTATCAGTGTGCCCATATCCTTGGACGTCAGATTGCGCAGGGCCAACGATTCCAGTATCATGTCCAGCACCGTCAGCTTCTCGGGCCCGGGACTTGAGTAGTTCGAGGCATTGCCATTGCGTAGGGAGTTCAAGGTGTTGGTCTTCGATTTGTTTGCTTGTACTGTGAGATCCTCTGAGGCAGGCAGCGTTGGCTGTGCCACATCATGGTGCAGCGTAGCATGCGACATGATGTCTGGAGTATTTGCTGTAAAATATATAATGATTATTATGCATTATGCATTGCTATTAGCATTATTTATTATTTGGTTTATAAGTTGTCTTAGCACAGAGCCACGTCTCGCGTTATGCATGTTATATATAACCCTAAATGATCTATGGCGACACGTGTTATATGCCACATTGCCTTATCACTCGCCATTCCATTAGGGCCTTAGTATTTCGCTCTGGTCATTGAACCAACGAACACAAACTTGCAACTGCATGTTTCGCGTATAGAAATGGTTTGCCCATTCATAACTTAACCTGACTCAGGTACCTGTGCTCTATATAGATTGTATATATGTATGTACTATATATATTTATATGTATAATTCAATTCCGAAATGATCTAGCGCTTGAGTCGCAGCTCTTAACCAGCCGATCGTTGAACACCGTGTGTACTAACTAATCTCGGTTTTGGTTTTTTCACAAGCTACGCGTGCTACTCTCAAATCAAAGTACAATAACAATTCTATATATATACATATACATATAATATACTAATCGGTCTATATAGAATGGCACAGGGCTTATCAGTGCTTAGTAAATGCGAGAAGGCTACAAACACAATTCATACAGAGTATATTCAACGAGTATATTAAAGCGAATCTATAGACACAAATATGGACATATCAGCATACATATATGTATATGTATGTATGTATATACCTTATTATGCTCCAAATTGCGAACTTGTTGGGGTACGTCTTATTTTAGGGGCTTAAGCATAGTAACTATGAATATATAGATATACCTATGCCTATATACATATGTGTATGTGTGTATATATGTTGTATATGGGATTAGCATATAAGAGTGTTAAGATCTTTTATAATACTTTGTATTCGGATAATTCTCATAGGAATAGTAATGATTATAATGGCAATAAGATTTGGACAATAATAATGATAGACCGAAGAAAACGATAACAATCGCACGAAATCTATAAAAAGTCAGAATTTCTAGTAGTTCTTATCTAAAAAAACAACAAAAACAAAAAACTATTCTAGTTTCTATATATAAATGAATGAAATACATTGCAAACAATTCAAAATACTTGAGTGAGTGATAAGCTAATGCCCTAATGTAAGTTAGGTAGGTACAGGAAAGTTCTTATAAACAACAATTTTAAGTGCTCTTGTGGTTGCAGTTTTAGTCGATAATAACTTTAGAGTATCAGAGTATTTAAATATGCCGATTTGGGCAAACGAAACGATGAGCTATAATATATGTAAGAAATTTCTAATCTTTGATAGAACTTTCTGCTGATTTATTATATACATATATGTATATAATTAATCAGCAAAAAAATTCTATTAAATATATAAGTTATATACATATATATGTCTGTCTATATATTCATTATTGCTAGCTCTGCGTTAATGTCAGCTGGAAAAGGGGTCAACAACACTCTGATAAGAATTGCGCTGCTGTTTGTCATAATTGCCAATTTGAATTGAAAAATTTCCAATAATAAAAAACTATGAAAGGTAGCGGTTATCAGAACAAATGAACTGAGCTGTATCAAAAGTTGATGGACTCTCAAACGATTTACATACTTGCAGTCAAGTTCACATACACACACACACACGCGCACACTCATGTATTTATAAATACAACTGCATGTGGCAAGTATTTGGAAGTAGCTCGAAATATGTTCTTTTTTTATATATTTAATTTCTGCTCACTCGGTCGCTGATAAGTATTCACACACAAGCACAAACAGACATAGATACATACATACATGCGTACATACATACAGACAATATACGTACATGTGGCTGGACGTTGTGCGGGCGTTTAAAAGCTTTGAAAGTTGCACTGGCGCTGTTGTTATTGTTATTGTTGTGTTGTTGCTTCTGCTATTCAACTCACTGCTATGAAATTTAATTGACGCTGCAGCGTCTTTCACTCAGTGCCATTGACTGATAACACAATGGCACGGCCACGGAAGATGCGTCCACCTGTGCGGAGAGCAAGTGCCGGCATAAATAATAGCGATGCGCAAGAGCTCTAATACGCAGCTACTGTTGTTGGTGTGCACTTGAAAAATGTTCACATGAAACGCGGACAGGAACACGTATGAGCAGCCAGCTGATCGCAACAAATTGGAAACGAGACACGCGCACTCAAACTCACACAGGAATTGCACTCGCGCTTGTTCTCACTCAACGTTACTCTCTCGTCTGGCGTTGCTTCTCGCTTGCACTCACTGCAAATGGTGCTCCGTATGTATGCGCTCTTGCTTAGACATGCACTTTCCAAGACGCCTGCCAAACATTTGGCGTTTTAATTAATAATTTGTCGCTGTTTGCGCTGAGTGCGCACAAAATATGAAGTCAAAAATTTTAAAAGCTTGTTATTATTCGTATTACTGCTGTTGCTATTGTGCTGAGTGTTGTGTATTTCAATTCGGTTCAGCGACACACTACGCCTAGGCAGAGCTAGCTACTCTCTTGTTGCTGTCGAAATCTGATTGAATGATACTGGTTGTTGTTGTAATTTTGTTGTTGCTGTTCTTGTTTCTGACGTTCCAGTCTTTACTGGCTGAGTGTTGTCTTGTGTTTTGCGTTCTTTGTTACCCACTTTATTCTTTGTTTTGTCGCTATTTCGTTCTGACTGCCGATCGGTTGCTGTTGTTTTTGCTGCTCTTATTTTTATTATTATTATTGTTGTTTTTGTTTTTTCCTTTTCATATGGCAAGCTGGTTTTCCGTATGACTTGTTACAAATTCGCTGCAGTTTCTTTTGTTGTTGTTGTTGCTGCCATTGGGGATATTGCCTTTGTTTCAGATTTCTCTCATTGCACTCACTTTTCCATTAGCTACAGGTGAGCAGCAATTAATTGGCAACTCGTCTGCCAACCTGGCAATGCGAATTATTGAGGCAACACAATAATGTCAGACCCTTTCCGTTGCACGTTTCACATTGAACGGATTAGCAGGGCGACTTCACGCACTATCAATATTAAAATTGCGTCGTAAGATTAGATTCGTTTTGTTGTTGTTATTATTGTTTGCGTCGTTGATGCCGGAACCTTTGCCACTGCTTCGGCTGCTGTTGCTATGTTTGTTATTTTGAATTCGGGGTGTACCGTTACACACGGCGAACACACAGCGAGTTGCGCCCTGCCCACGAAACAAGTTATAACTACGACGCGCGCAACGCATTCACTGGCTTGGCCTGGCCTGCTGCTGTCCTCTATTCGCTGCCTGCGCCGTTGCTGCTGCTGCTTTCGTTGCGTCGCTGCATTCGACTGTGAGCGAGTGTTGATAAGCGAGCGAAGACATTTACAGCGGGAAGAGCAGCGCGCTGTTCGCAGCTGGCAGCTATGATTACTGATTGTTGACTGTTTGTCCTCTGTCTCTGCAGCAGACGATGTTCTTGTTTACGTATCGGGATCACTTCTTTCTGACGTAGCAATCGCACATTAGCATACGCATGCATACGACGGACACAAAGTGCAAATTTAATCACCGAAAGACAAAGAATCGACACAGCGAGTATCTTTCGTTGTATATACACATGTACATATGTGTGTATGTATGTATGTATGTATGTTTGTTTGTTTATAGGTATGCGCATAGCATCCCCAGCATTGCTGCTTAGACATGATACACTTCACCGTTCGGCACTCGTCGTCTTTGGCGTTCGGTAAACGGCGCTCGGCTTGTTGTTCAATGATTGTTTCGTTATTATCTTTTAGCGTGTGCTCCATTTCCATAGCAGCGGTCGAAGTCGAAGATGTGCACTGAAACAAATTGCGTTGTGCGTGAAGCTTTGGAAAGCTTCAAGGCTTATTGCTGCAGCAGCTGGAAAGAGCCATACGCTCTCCTCTCCTCGCTGCCATGCTCTCTCTCTCTCTCACTCTCAAGCAGCTGAAGGGAGTTGATCTTTGTACGAGCGACATCATGGTGTTGGTATGTATAATTGTTATCAATGTGTAATTTTAGCTATTTGTATGTTAACTCACTCTTATACAATTTCGTCTTATATGCTGCGTAGGCGACATGTTTGCATACTATTATACATGATTTGCTCTTATATTTTGACTTATACGCTGCATTAGGAGTTGCGCAATTGTGTTTTAAGGCTTAACAACTGGTTGACTCTTATAATTGAACTGGGATTTATTTATAGCAATGACATTCACCTAATCTAATTAGCGCTATAAAAATAAAAGCAGATAAGTCTTATTAAAAGTGAAATTGCGTCTCAGTTGCTGCTTCACCCCCAACCCCCCGCTCTTCATCTACCAGCTAGATAAGTGCTCTGTAACAACAAAAGTCTCGCGTTTGTTTTCTCTATCAATTAGCAGTTTCTCAGTGTCGAGAAATGACAGAATTTCTCTTTGTACATACATATGTCTTAAAAGGTGCAGTACACTTGACAAAAATAAAGCAATACCTCTCATTCACGCACTCTTTGTTTTTCAGCTTCCTTATTATATGATAGACTCATACGTGTTTTCACAGATAAATACATATGTATGTATGTATATAATGAGAGGTATATGTATATATTTAGATTAACGTTTTACCTGATTCCACACGCACTAAACGTGTTCACACTACCCAAGGCACAAGAGATACACATATGTATGTACATACCTATGTATTTGTAAAGATTAATTCGCATGTACTTAATATATAGCTGTAAATAGCTGATAAACGTACGAGTCGAGTTATTGAACTCTATTCAAGTGTATTCTGCATTTATCAGTTTAGTCAAGAGTTTACTTTACAATAATCTCGCAGCTATAATACCAGTATTTACATACATGTATTTATTTCACCCCTCCAAACCCGACTTTTACCTCCTGCGTAGTCAGCGATGCTTGCTAAGCGTGCTATTTGCGCTGTCAATCATCATACCCTATACAATGCGTTGACGAGGTATAAAAGCGCTTGCTCTTGTTGATTTCCGCCCGTAAGGGTTTTGGTAGCAGATATTAAATTAAGATTTGAAAACTTAGTTAACAGTTGATCAGTTGATGATTGGATCACAGCACTCTCTTTCTCTTTGTTTTTATACCCTGTTTTCCTTTTACACTTGAAGGCCTTGGGCAAACACCTGTTCAGCTTGACTGATAACGTTGGACTTATCATATGAACTCTCTTTCTTTCTTAATATCTGTGATTAATTTTACATTTGTTTGTTGATTTATATATCTGCCTTCATTTCTCTCTTCATTTATGTCTTATGTCTCCCACTTTTTCTTTTACTCTCTCTCTCTCTCTCTCTCTCTCTCTCTCTTTCCCTCTCACTCCCTCTTTCTCTTTTTCCGCAGGTTCCTTCTCTCATATCTCATTGTATGGTTTACTCTTTGTCTTTTATTCTCACTGACCTTCAGCTTATCTTTATCTTTCTCTCTTTGTCTCTCGCTCTCTCTCTCTCCCCACTCTCTTTGTGGAGTTCTCATTTTAATGTACTTTAACCTTCAGCGCTTCGTTTAGGGTTCTTCACTTTTACAGGGTATTGGAATGCCAGCAATTGCTGGCAGGCTTCTTACTTACTTATTTGCCACCCATCGAATAACAAAATCATCCAAACAAATGATAGCCTCTTTGAACTTTGTCCACATCACTGGAATGATTAAGCTGACGACCGAGCACAGATGAATATATACTTCAATATAGTAGAAATGTTTTCGTGCGCTTAATAGCTTTTCAATAGGCAGCCTTCACAGATCTGTCGCTGCGAACATAACCTGCTTAAATATATATTTATTATACATACATACATGCATAACTGGTGGAAGGAAGTGAGTTCGAGTTGGCAAATAAAATGCAATTATGAAGCCTTAGCTCAGACAGCTTAAGTGTCGTTCAGAGTTAGCTAATGCTGTCTGAGTCGTATTGGGGCTTTTGGCTGTTATCAGAGCAGTGGGGTCCTACGTCAAAAGGCAGACACATTGGCATTATTCGGCTTTATCGCTAGCCAATGCATTCATTTCCTATATGTCTCACTCTTATCAATCCCAAGTCGAAGGCACTTTAATTTATTTTCTACTGCGAATGGTGCTATAATATATAGATAGTATATATAGTCGATACTAAATAATATACATATGTATAATTTTAAACAGATAGCCCGGGTTCAAGTGCCAAAAATAGTTTCAAAAGTTTACATAAAAAACAATTTCCAACTATTTGTTGTCTCTTTTTGATTGGATTTCGCATTCCCCACCTATTCAAATTGAATTTGAAATTCAAAATTCTGGTTACACACATTGGCATGATTCATAATGGGTCTTTTTTGCAATATTTGTCTCCGTAAGTAAGAAAAATGCGACAGTAATTGTATTTTAGTGGTTGGCGGACAGAAGGGCGGAGACCTTACGTAGGTCCAATTGATAGCACGCTAACTTATCTCATTACATCTGAACTGCTCTCAACAAATGTAAGCTTAAGTGCGATCTATTCGAAATGATTTGTTGTTGTGCCTATATCTCCTCTATATGTTTATTCAGTATTGCATATATGTATGTACTATCAAGCTGTTAGAATACCGATTCAGAAATCTTTATATCTGCGATTTTCTCTTTCTCTGTCTCTCCAGATTCACTCTCGCTTACTGCTACCAATCCTATCCTCACTCTCATTCAATCTCTGTCTCTCTATAATTTTGCTTTGTTATAAAACCCATAAAATTTTGAAGGTTTGCTTATTTCTTAGCAAATAGCATAAGTTTAAGGTTCGGCTCATGGTAAATGTATGTTAGATATGAATTCTGGCTTAAGCTTCTGTCAGCCTCGTTTATCCGTGCCATTTCAGGGCGTTTACGTTTGTCTATTCATACCTCATGTTTCATGTTTTGTGATTTAATATTTATGAGATCGTTAAAAAAAAAAAGAAACAACAAATATGCCAGTCCGTATGTCATTTTACATAAACAGAAAGGTCGCATGCAAGCCGGTTAGCCTTATTGGCATACAAAGTTGTAATTCGTTTAGAGTTTGTGGCTTGAATAGGCCTATTAACTGCAATGGCTTGTGCGTGTGCGTATGTATGTGTGTTTGCCTGTCTGTGTGGGGTGTCATCGATGTAGTTCAAGGTCAGCCAAATTAACCTTGTCGAAACTGTAGCAATGCTTAACTGACGTATTCCCCCCTAAAAGTTTTCAACGAAGTTACTGTATAAACAAGAAATTGCATTGGAAAAACACTTACAGACCCGATTCTGGCTAAGCACATGAGTTGAGGCGAATATTTCCCACTTAGGCAAACACTTCTAAGCCATAAGTGAAGTCTACTCACTTTACTATTTCCTATTCAATATATGTATATTTCCAGTCCAACTGCAATGCAAATGCAACAAGTTTTTCTCGGTTTTTTTTTTTCATTATTATTTTTGTTTTTCCAGCTGACTCTGTGTGTGTTATGCCCACAGCAAATTTACATTTGGTTTTTTCTTGTCATAGTTTTCTATGTTAAGTAAATACGAAGATAAACAATTCTGGCGTAGATATATGTATGTATGTATGTTGCAACTGGCCAGAATAACAAGAATTGCCACAATAAGCGGCCACATCTTAATGCAACTTTGCGCAATGGCGAGGGTTGTGTCAAGTTGGACACCAAACACCAGACAGCACAACAACAACAACGTCAACATCAACAGTAATAGCAACAACAACATTTTTGTTGTTATACATTCTTAAAATTGTTATGTTTCGCAAAGCGAGACGACAAATTGTTAGTCATTTACTCGTTTTTTGGGCATATAATGATTTGCGTGTATGTGGAAATCAAAGATATGTTTGTTGTCGTTGCACGTTTTGGCAGCGACAGCATAAAATGAAACGATACGAAACGAAAGACTTCAATGCAAGCAACAAACTTGTTTTTATCAGCCCGCACATAACACAAATAGCAAAAGCAGCGCGCCAGCAGCGCAGCACAGCGGCAGCAGCAGCAATAATCATGCATGACAACGCCATTCAATAGAGCTTTTTATCAATTGCATTTGCAA